GTTTTGACATATCCTTAAAGCCTGGAGGCTGTTTCATATAAACAACTTCTGTCAAATTACCATGTAAAAATGCATTATTGACATCCATTTGTCTCAAGTCCTAACCATTCATCATTGCAATTGCTAACATAGATCTGATTGTTGCAAGTTTGACAATAGGACTATAGGTCTCCTTATAGTCAATTCCAGGGCATTGGTTATAGCCCTTGGCCACAAGTCTAGCCTTAAATCTATCAACTAAGCCATCGGCTTTCCTTTTGACCCTAAAAACCCACTTACAGCCCACTGGATGACAATTTTTTGTGGTGGTACCAAATCCCATGTACCATGACGCATAAGAGCTGTAAGCTTACTAGACATGGCCTCACGCCACTTTGGGTGAGACGCGGCTTGACTGACACATGTAGGTTCAATTGGTGATGGTAACGGGTGTTTAATAGCAGTATGAAACTGTTTAGATTTGTAAATAATATTCATTGACCATGTGGTCATTGAATGAGTTCGAGTTGGTGGGTTGGTGGTTTGAGGAGTTTGAGTGGACTCGATGATTTGAGCCCGATCATACGAAGGTAGTGGTGATGAATGCATTAAAGAAACTTTAGGGGAGGATGCGATGGTGGGACGTGAGAATTTGAGTTCATTTCATCTAGGGTTTTATGTAAATGAGAACAACCATGAGGATGGAGGGAGGAAATGTCACTGGAGGTGCGGCGACAGTAGCAACTGCAGTTTTCGAGTTCTCTGGTGGTGATGATGGCTGAGATGAGAGGTCGATTGGAGAATGAGGCATTGGAGGTTGAGTTTTGATTTGGGGAAGATTGGAAGATGAGGTCGTGCGAGTTGAAGAGGAAAGAAATTCATGTGGGCTGGAGTAATTGTGAGCCATGGATGGCTTGAGAAAATGTTTGGGCCTTCGGGCTCAGCCCATGAAGAGGAATTTTGCATTTCATCAAACGTAACATGTCTTGAAATGTACATTCTCTTGGTCAATGGATCCATGCATTTATTTGCATTTTGATTTTGAGAATAACCAAGAAATATGAAAGGAGTAGATTTGGGCTCCATTTTATTGGTGTTATATGGCTTGAGAAGGGGATAACAAAGGCATCCAAATTTTTTTAATTTGTGATGATTTGGCCTTTGACCGAATAGAGCCTTAAAAGGAGATTTTTTTTGGAGAAGTGGTATGGGTTAATGATTTATGAGATAAGTGGCGGTTTGGAAGGCATGTGGCCAGTATGAAAGAGGTAACGATGCATCATGAAGTAATGTGAGACTTGTTTCTACAAGATGATGATGACGTCATTCCAAAACACCATTTTATTGAGGTGTGTATAGGGCCCTTGTGTAATGGCTTATCCCATGGAGAGAGAAATTTTTTTAAGACTGATGAATTCTCCTCCATTATCAGAGTATAAACTTTTTATTTTTTAATTGAAGCGCATCTCAACAAGATTTTTAAATTGTGGAGAGATGGTTGATACACTAGATTTGGTGAGCATCGGATAAAACCACATATATTTTGTATAATGATAAACAAATATGAGGTAATATCTAGAACCATCCAAGCCAGTGTAATGAGCGGGTCCCCAAACATCAGTGTAAATAATTTCAAGAGGCGAATGACTTTGAAAACTAGTGGAACCAAAAGGTTGTTGATGTGCTTTATTAATGGAGCAAGAAGTACCTGAAGATGGTATTTTTTTTGTGGTAAGCGAAAGAGAAAACAAATTAATAAGACTTTGAACAATCTTTATTGATGGATGTCCAAGATGCTTGTGCCATCCATCAATTGAAGTCCGTTCATGCACATTTGCAACCATTTTGGATTGAGAAGCCGCCAAAGAGTTCAGAAACGTGTAGACACCACTTTCACACGCCCCTCTTAGTAATGTCGCCCTTGTGGTTTGATCCTTCACAAGAAAATGGAAATGGTGAAATTCAACAAAAACATTATTTTGTTTTGTAAAATGATGAACTAAAATTAAATTTTTGTGAAGATTTGGAACACAAAGTGTATCGTTTAAATGAAAGATTATTTTTGGTGAATATAGGACTAGAGAACCAATATGTGAAATAGTCAAATCTGTGCCATCACCTAAAACCACTTCATTAGTTCCATCGTATTCAGAGTGAATTGATAGATTTGATAAATCTCCAGTGATATTATGAGAGGCTGCGGAATCTATCAACCATTTGTTTTCTTTAGAATTTGATGTAGCAGCATAGTTGACGGACATTTCAGTGGACTGGAGTTGACGACATGTTTTTGTTGTATGGCCTAATTGGTCACATAGCTTACATTTAGGCTGGTATCGTTTTTAACTTAATTGTTACGGCTCGAGGCATTATTTTGGCGCCTTTGATCTCTTTGTTGGCCATTGCCGGTGCGAGAAGGCCCTTGAGATCTAGATGATGCATTAGAGCGTTGAGCTCCTCTTCCCTAATTGCTTCCATGGAAGCTAAGGTTTCTAGAGGTGAAATTGGCGACAGCAACGAGTTACTTAGCGGTGGCCTCCATGTGACACAGGTAGCTTTTGTGTCCAACGAGCAAATCATGGAGTTTTTCAGAAGCTAAGGATTTCTCTCTCGCGCGAATAGGAGCGGCAATGTCTCTGAAATCCGTACCCAATCCATTGAGAATGTATAGAGTAAGATCATCATCTGAAATTGGATGATCTATGAGAGCAATTTCGTCAGCGAGTGCTTTAACGGCATGAAGATAGCCAGAACCATGCGATTCCCTTGCTGGATCAAGGTCAGTTCCTCTTTCAGCTGCATTGCTCTTGTACACGACTTACTAGCATACATATTTTTGAGTTTTTTCCATGCTTCTTGGGATGTCTTGGCTGTCGTTATGTAAGGAGTGATGGTAGTAGACATAGAGGCAAGATTAGCATTGAGGATCAGCTTATCTTGCCTAAGCAAGTGATTTCTCTTTGACTAGGATAAGGAAGTTCCATCAGAGACAGGGAGTATAGAGTCTCCATTGACATAGTCCATCAAGTCATAGCCAATTAGGAGTGCCTCAAATTGAGCGCGCCATTGAGAAAAGGTAGAGGGTGTGAGTTTCTCATTGATTTGTGCAATAATGTTGAAGACGACAAGAGGATTTTCAGTGGAGGAAATGGGTTGGTTGTTTGTTGCGGAAGCCATTTTAAGGATCGAAGACTCGTTTGAGGGTAGGACTCCTGATGCCATATAGAGAATAGAAGCTAAAGTTTCAATAAGAATAATTCCACACATTTGATTGATTCTATTCCATAGATATATATACAAAGCAACTAATCTATCTTAGGCAATATACAGCCATAAAAGCTAAGATTCTAACGGTTACAAAAGAATCAGATAATAGCGTATGCAAGATTTTAACCTATACTAATTACAGAGAATATCTTGATTGTGTGAGCTGTCCAGTTTTGAAATGCTTTCCTTAATAGATTTTTCTCCTTGCACAAACTGACAATAGAATTTGGAATTATTTTGGGGTTGCTTATGTTCCTTGATTCAACCATTTCTTTGAAGCTTGAGTTAGTGTGGATTCTTTGTGTGTCTGGTGGTTTGTTTTGGGTCGAAGATTGTTTAAAGAATGAATTGAGTTCTTTGATTGTATATAGACGCTATATTACTGCTCTTAAATAGCTATTGAGCTACTGCATTTGTGGTTGTGTACAGAGGAGCACATTCCAATAGTCACATTTCGTCCAAGGACTAGTTATACCTACAAAAGCAAAATGGTAATTAATGGCATTCTGTCCAATTTATATAAATAAAATTTTCATTGATTACATAGGACATGTGTCTTTTTTTCACAGAGGGGTATTTTAGGTTGTCTTATCAACCATAGTATAGCAATTGTGTGTAACGGAATAACATGCAACCTCCGAGGTACTAACTCAAAATGTCGAGTTGGTTGCACAAACCAATAATAAGTTTGACACCTCTATAAAATTTATTTAATCAAACATGGGGAGTTGGTGGTGCATGGTTTATCTTTGTTGCCAGAGGAAACAAAGCTGGGTAAAGCAAAAAATGGGGAGGTGGTGTCAGTGGCGTGGGCAAAGGCACGACGCTGGCAAATATGTTCAACAGTAAAAAAAATTCATTTCAATTTGACACTTAATATCCTTTTTGTCTTTCATTGTATTATTTAATTCATATAAGTTTAATACATGTTAACTTATTATTGGTTTGTGGTACCACCTCAGCATTTTAAGGTGGTACACCGAAGGTAGGGTAGCTTTTCTCGTCAACACAAGAGGAGAGATAGAAGAGTTAACTCACTATATTCATAAAAGTATTGCCCAATCGATTGATTTAAATCATGAAAAACCCATATATAACATTTTAACAAGACTGTAAAACTAGAATGTAGAGTTTAAATTCAACATTTACTTTTGCAACTGAAAAACAAATCCATCTCTAATACAATTTATTACTGTTATGCCTAAAAAATATAAGGGCTGACGTCAGGTCCAGTCAGCCTACAAGAGTCAGATCATGGGTACAACCATAGCCTGCTTCCGTCAGAATCGTGGGTGCGCGTCAGGCCAGCCAGGAGTTGTGGTAATCCCACGTATCCAACCCCTGCTCTAAATCGCGCAAATCACTCTGGAAGGTGGACAATGTGACATAAAGAAGGATTTGCACGGATAATCCCACCAACTTACAGATTTAGTGATCATTGCCTCAATGCATCCTACTATAAATTGGGAGCTCCTCTCTTATTAAGCCTACACTTGATTAATTACTCTCTCTTTCCCTAGAATTCTTAGCATTTGATACCTTATAATATTATTGTAAAGTCAGTCAGCTAAAAGCAACCTGACCCTTATCATCAATATAAGCATCAGTGGACGTAGGACTTGCTACCTTAGCATCCGAACCACTTTAAAAACTATCCCCATTGCATTTACTATCCTTTTCCTTTTGATTCATGTGTGTCCTTTGAGCCTGCTCAACATTTCACACGTGCGTTTCGTTGATGTAAAAATCACGCATCAACAATTACTAAAACCACAAAACTTGCTTAATGGAACAAATGGTTTGTATGGATGTAAGTAGTACAGTATAATTGCAGCAATAGTTCCAGTGCCTTTCCATGGATTGCTGAAATAAACACGCTTCAAGGTTGCCCTGGCATGGTTCCAACCATTATTATAATGTTCATTTAGATCCTTGACAATACCACTGTAACATGATTTACTTAAAGTAATGTTCAGGCCAAATCTATTAAACATCCGCACGATTGTAGCATTATCGCCTAGACTATTTAAAAGAATTCCTTTTTCAATAAGCAAATCTATATCCTTCTCTGTGTCGATAAGATCATCCATGAATTTGATATAGTTACAGATGTGAGGATTTGATGGATAGTGACACTGTTCGAATGCCATCACATTTCGTGTCACAGTTTCTGTGCCATCTTCTATTTCCATATGCGGAATTTTTAACTCAACGCCACTAAAGTATGGAATTGGGATTTTAAAATTTCTCTTTTCTCGTACTATGTTAAGTAAACAACCTCCTTTAATACCCTTAAGCTTCACTCCCGACTCGTTGAGTTTGACTGCTGAAGGTGAACCTGACAAATGAGGACCATATTCTTCAAGGAGATTTTGTGATAAATCATTTCTTCTCAAATCAGTGAAATGCTTAACTTCTGCTTGATAAGAAAGTTCTTCATTGGACAAGCTATCATAGAACTTACGAGGAAGACCAATGAAGTCATCAGGATAATTTTCTCTTTCAGATTTAGCTAAACTATAAAATTTCTCGAGGATGAAGTATGGAAGTTGATTTTCAGGTAGTTGCAAATCTAGTTCTAAACCAAATCTTAAGCGTGGTTTATCTAGCAAACAATCATTTTTGTCTTCCCAATCCTTCAAGAAGAGCTCGATGATGAAGATTGCATCATATAGAACCATTGTTATTTACTCAAGACTTAGAAGTTGGGAAGCTTCAGCGTAACAATTACGAATTTGTTGCTCGTTATCTTTTATGAATGTTAAAAGATCCTCCCATTGTTCCTCACTGATTCGCTTACCAAAATCTTTTTTATATCTTACTTTTTGTTTTTCCATTTCAGCCAACTTCTTGTTGTCATGGTGAAGAGGACCAATTGCAATTAATTGAGAAGTATAGACTCCGTCATTTATTTTGTGAAGATCTTTAGGAACCCTATAAATACAACACTCAGATGCAGGCTCTAACTTTTCGTCTATATCAATTTTCAACTCTTGGCGCTTATGCTTTTCAATGGAAGCATTTGATAAGCTATTCATTTCAACCCGCAAGTTCCTTTTACCCTATTAAAACAAATAATTAACAAAAAATGTTGACTTATGTATAAATAGTAGATTTCGAGGGTCATGATTGAAGAGCCTTGGTCTTCGAAGTCTCAAACTTTTGGTAGAGAAGAGTTGTGAATCGATTGTGTGAAAGGGAAAAAGAGATGTGTAAGTAGTGATGTGAAGCCAATCGCTGCAACTGTGAGTGGTTGCGTCAGTTGTGAGAATTGTATGGTTAACTTCATTGTGGATTTGTTATTTTCTTTGTGGTGACTATGGTCCCCATGGTTTTTCTATGTTTCGAGCTTTTGTGTTAAAAAAATCTTGGTGTCTTAAGGATGGTTGTTTTGTAAGTGTTCTGTCAACTTATGAAGATTGGGTGCATATTCCTTTTGATGTATGCATATTTGCTTCATTAAGCACAATCTTGTTTGCTGTTTGCACATGTTCTTGACATATTGTTACATGTGTACACATTTTATTGTTCATATGATCATAGTGATCTTACGTGTAAACATTTTATTAATCATTTCTTACAATATAGGTGTCTCATTCATTTTATCTTTTAAGATATTGAAAGAATTATGAAAACTATGATATCGTTTCACATTAATTGGGCAAATTAACCCTGGACATTAGTTCAAGACAGATCGTGTCGCTCTCATTTGGCTGATGGTCAACGGTATAAAAAAGGGCAAATAGTTGAGGAAATATCGATCAGATCTTTCTTCTCTATTAGTGTGATTTTGGGTTTGTAAAACCCCCCTCTAGTCAGGTATCCTCTGAATATCCCTCAATGAGAATCCCGAGGATACATGTCTGGAGAACAAGTTGTATTTAGATAAATCTGTGTAAGGATAATAATAATAATATCCAAAACATGCATATAAAATATCACGCAGGATCTAAACTTATAATTTACAAACTTTAAGAAATTACACAATCAAAACATATTTATAGGGTGGAAGCTTCCAAATGTATTTCACAAATATTTATCATTTACATATTTACATCAAGATAAAAACATCGAGATGATAATAAATCATCTCCCCTCACGTGTAGTCCCGCTGTCTCTAGCATCCCTCGCTTCTATACATACCTGCAAAGCAATTACAATGAAAGGGTGAGCGCTAATCGCTCAGTAAGGAATGATCCGTTTCATTCTGAATGTACTGTTTGATCTTTATTTAAACATATTATTAACACGTCCCTTATCTTTTCATCTAGGGATACTTCCCTTTTTATTACTAATTCATATGCTTTTCATCATTTTATCCCATGGCTATATAAACATCAATGTGTACACATACAAATAAGTATGTAAACATAGTACACACACACACATGTCATGACATACATCTAAAATCATCTAACATGAGTATAAATCATCTCATGATGTAAATAACATCATAACTCATGTAATGCAACTAAATGCATATGAAACATTTAACGTCTAGCTGATCGACCTTCTTAGCATCTTAAGCACTTCATACATCTAGCCTCAAATTTCATCCAGAGCTTATATCATCGGGAGGCGTGCTTACGCGTTATTTAGCATCTAAAGCATATATTCATCTTTCCTCAACCGCTATACGAGTATATGCTTATCGTTTTTTCATTGGTCTATATGCATCTCTGTCATGTCTATTGCATCTCTAACATCTTATGGCATGTAAATTCATATTTTGGTGAGCTTAATACTTTAATTCATCTATGGATTATCAACCCATTTACATTACCTCTTGCTCACATACATCTCTTAACACATGTATTACATTGCATCTTCATGACATTTCATAACATTAATCATGCATTGACATCATGACCATGTATATCTTTCAAAGATCATCTAACTAATGGTAAACATTAGTACATGGCATAATTACAATAATACATTAATAATCAATTCTAATCATAAGAATTGATTATGTTAAATCTTAAACTTTAATAACCAGTTATGCTTCAGGCCATTTTCTATCCTTTTCTCAAACGAATTGGCTCTTGGCATAAACATAAAAGTTATAGGTCTCTTTCTTAGCTTTCTAATTCTTCAAGAATCATCTCATTTGATTTTTATAACTCAAGTTATGGTCGAAATACTGAAGCAGGGTTAACAAACCCCTAAGCCCATTAAATCTGAATTTTCATATTACTATGCCACATCAATTCCTATTGACATTAACCATAGGTTAACTTTTGGATCAAATAAACCGCCCCTTAATAGTCTTTAACATCTTAAAGGAAGTGTAAAATCTCATTTCCATAATTATCCATTATTGCATAACATTGTAAGCTAATGCATACAACACATCAACACTCCAATAGCAACCATTCAACACCATGTGGCCTCCAATACTACAATTTTTGCCACAATCATATCCACACTTCATTTTATTCAATCAAACATAACAACTCATAAAACATAAAGAGCAATAACTTCATGTATAATGAATTCAAGGCAATAAGTAGAATAATGAGTTCAACTACATTGCCATCAACTATCTGCCTTAAAGCCTTAATTTAAGGTTTCATAAAAATCTACAAACCCTACATAAACCCTAAAGTCATGGGAGGTTCTTCCTTACCTTTTTAAAGACTTCCTCCAACAAATCCTTTGCCTTTGACTCTTTTACACCTTAATCCTACATATATAACATTATACCTCAACATCTACCTCAATCTTCAAATCACATCAAACTAAGTTTTTAATCTTACCTTAAACCGTTCAAATTGAAGATCCAAGGCTCCTATCTGTTCTCCTTGAAAAATTAAGCAAAACTCCTTAAAACTTAGAGAAAGAAAGCTTGTTTCATGGAAGATTTGAGAGAAAATGGAAAAATGTTGAAGAAAGGCTCTCTCCTTTGCTTGAACGAATTTCATCTCATTTATAGGAAAATATTTCATTTATTTTCCAAATTATGCAATTGGCCCATTATTTTAATTGTATAACTCATAAGTCCTTAATTCTTCATATAAGGGCATTTTGGTCATTTCACACTAGACATAATTATTACTAATTGATGCCATTAAATGCAATGAAGCCTACTCATCCTTGACTTTTTCAATGCTTATCTATAGGCAAAATAACCATTTTGCCCCTAAGCCTCTCTATGGATAATTGATTCATACCGTTCCAAATGAATTGACTATTTTGTCCTTAGTTAGATTTTATGCTTTTTAACATAAAATTAACATCTAAAGGACTATTTTGAGTTAGGAATATACCTTTGATATCTTGGATATTACAGGTGTTGTAAAATCAGGTTAGGGCTTGTTCACTATGGTCATCTATCTGTAATTCTAGGCAGTAGTTAGATTGAAGGTTGCATTTCCTTCAAGGGCTAGAGTAGTGCTCTAGTGTCTGGTGAGTTACAGTGAAGGGTTTACAGTGTTTAAGTTTGAGTTTTGTCTCCATTATGATTAGTAGATCAAGATTGTATTTCTTGTGTAATTTGTTGATAATCCTAGTGCATGAGCTCCTTATTTCAGAGTTCAACATGGATGTAATCTATCCAACATTTTATAGGTGAACCACTTTAAAAAGATTGCCTTTTGTGTGTGTGATTGTTCGTTCTTGATTAGTGTTAAATTAGTTCTGAATTGTGAATTGACTCAGATTGCAACAGTGGTATTAGAGCCTGGGTCCTAGGGTTTTTGTTAGAATAGATGCCCTAGAGCCAATCAATTATTGTAGAATTGACTCTTTGTAATAATGTTATTAATCAGTAATAAAGGCATTTTATTCTATATCGCGTAATCATTATTATTGCAATATGTATTGATAATGTCCTTAGAATGGTAGAACTGTGACGAGGGTATCAAGTGGTTTCAGATCTTGATAGTGAGAACCCTATGAGCACATATGGTGGCCATTCTAGAAATGTCCGTAGCCCTAGTATTATTCTGAAGTAAGGGCACAGATAATACGGTAAGTGATCATAGTGTTGAACGACCCTGTCGAAAGGTAGTGACTGATCTCACTTGTCAAGGTTGTTTGGTGATAACCTGGTGCACACATGGGTGTTTGTTGTAGGCGATTACACCACAGCAAGTTCACTGGACGACCCACCAGAGGATTCCATATGGATGGTAACCCTGGTGTCTATGGAACAAATCCTCTAACGAATGGTGGTGCATGTGATCCTTAGACTTGAGATCATCGGAGCGCCTTGTGCACCGATTGGTGTAGTTTGACACTAGCCTAACACAGTTCTTTTCAGAGCATCAATACAGTGGTGATTGGCTGCATCAAGGAGTGTATCAAGACTATGGTGGATTGACAAAGGATTCATCACTCCCAGGTACGGAGAAGTTATCTCACGCACGTTCAGTATATGGCAATGACACTAAAACTATGGCCACAGTGGGATTGAGTTATTGCTCTATCCAGATTATAATACGGGTCATTGGTCCAGAAACTGAATATATAATATCGAGAGTAACCGAAGGTTGACACTATTTCTATGCTTCGTCTCGTCGAGATAACGTATGATGAAAGGATCGAATTGTACGGTAACCATCGTTGACAGTAGCTACTCTTGCTGAATCCGAATCTATCGGTGGCCATGATGCCTTGCTAGGGGCCAATCTTGGTCTGTGTATTAGTAAGACGATTAATTGTGTTAACTGCGATACTA